GCTGCTCTCGCCGATCCGGCGAACAGCCAGAGTGGTGCCGTCTTCGAGCACCGCCTTGTACATAATGCTGGACCCGGTAGCCCCCAAAATGTAAGCTGAAGCTTTGAGTAAAGTCTCCAGCTCAAGCTCCTTTTCCCCGTCGACGGTCACCAGTGTGCCCTTTTTGTCTTGCTGATGCTCCCGTTGCCGTTGATCATCATGAATTTTGTAATCTTCTCGATCGTCATCAGAAGTGGTGTCGGATGACCCATCTTCATCATCTGCTCTCTTTCTCAGGCACGCCCATCTCGTGAATCCTTTGTATTCCGGTGACGACGCCGAGACAGACCGAGTGTCTTTCGCCGTGTTTGCTTCTTGCTTCTGTGTAGTCTCGACGTTTCTTTTTCTCTTTAATCTGTACACAAAGAAGAAAACCAGAGCGACGACTCCAATTCCGGCGACATCTCCGGCTACAATTGCTATTATAGTTCCTGCTTTGAATCCGTTCTGCTTTTGTTCTTCAGCCCCTTCTCCTGGTATCTTCCTGGGGATTGCGGCGATCGCCGGAGAAGAAGTCGGTGCAGTAACATTAGGAGCTGATGACGGCGAGGAAGGAATTGTGCACGGATTTCTGATTTCTTCACCACACAGATCAGAATTCCCATAAAAGGATTTCGGGTCTTGATTCTTGAAAACATCATAATCCGGAACTTCTCCTGTAAGATTGTTGAACGAAAGATCAATTGTGGCGTTACCAGGAATTTTCTCTGCAAATTGCGCCGGAATGTCACCGGAAATATTGTTGTAAGATACGTTCAGGTAACGTAGCTTGGCACCTCCAAAATCCGCAGGCAGGGACCCATTGAAAAGATTGGAGGATAGATCCAAAACTTGAACAGATCGAAACCCGCCAGGAAGATTGCCAAAGAAGGAATTACTCTTCAAAGAAACATCAGTCAGATTTTGGATTGTAGTGAGACTGGCGGGTAGCTTTCCCGCCAATGCATTGTCAGAAAGGTTAAGAACCTGGAGGCTTTGCAACCGCCCCACCGTCTCCGGCAGCTCCCCCGAGAGCAAATTGTTTGATAAATCAAGAAACTGAAGTTGGTTCCCATTGAAAAGCGACGACGGCAGAGACCCATTAAGGGAATTGTTGGAAAGGTCAAGAATTTGCAAGTACTCAATCGTACCCAGATTTGCCGGAATCGAACCCAGAAGCTGACAGTTGGGAAGAGACAAACCGGTGACCCTAAGATACCCATCCGCCGTTCCCACCGCCGTGCAATCCACTCCACTCCACGAACACGGTGTCTCATCACTGAAATTCCAGCTCTCTAGCACGGACAGAGGATCACTGAGAACAGAGTACTTGAAATAAAGCAAACGAACACCATCTGTATTCAACCCAAAAGACCCAACCACCAAAAACCCAAGAACAGAAACAAGAATTCCCCACCATAAATGGAGATTAAAGCCCACAACCCTCATGATTCTTCAAATCGACCCCTCATTATGAAGAAAAGGGAAACGGAGAGAGGAAAAGAGAGAGAAGGTAACTGAGATTTCTGAAGAGAATGATGATGATGATGAGCAAGTTTCAGAGACCATGTGATGGAGGTTTGTCAAAAATAATATATAAAAAATTGCAAGAACAGAAGTGCAGGTTTCTTTCACAGCTCAACAAAACCAAAAGTTTTCATGAAACCGAAATGCTATGCAGTAGAAATGATTAAATTCTTTTATTCTTTTCTCTCTGAATAGATAGATATCAAGTAGAGTGGCATCTTTGCTACAGGACATCTATATGAAGTTGAAAGCTGTAGCATGTAGGGTTCTGTGTGAAAATTGACTATAAAATTTATGGACAAATGTATATTTAATGTTTCTAAATGTTACTATGTTGGAGCGCTAGTTGTTCACATCTAGTGCAACATTTATTATGGTGGTCCAAAGGTCGCCCTCATACAATCTCATCAATGGGTCGTTATTGGATTCAGAAGATTTAAAGCTCTTTGCTCATATTTGATATTTGAGGAGACTGCAAAGAACGTGTATAATTTGTTTGCTAGAAAATATGTGGGTTTTAGATAATAAAAGATTTTAATTTAAAATTATTTAATAATAAATAAAGTAATTTATATCATATGTAAATCACATGTTTCTGTTTTTATTTTTTAATGTAGAATTTTTCACTTTAATATGCCCCTCATGTGCTCCACTAGGCTTGTCTCGCGAACTTCAAATGCCCCTAAGGCACAAGCTCGTTGGGCGCGTCAGAGCAGAGCTTTGCACTCGCGCACACAGGGAACACGAGACCTAGACATAAAGAAGAACATGGGGGCTTGAAAGAGGGGTCTGGCTATAATTGACCTGCCTCTAATATCATGTTAGAAATTATGATAGAAATTATGATAATAATTGGTATATTTTTTAATTTAATACATTTAATGTTATTTATCTATTTAATCAGTAAAAAATTAATATTTTTAAATTTAAATTCAAAATAAAAAAAATTTTAAAGATAACTTTTAAGGATTAAATCGATAAATGTTATTAAATATGTTGAACCGAAAAATATATCAATTATTTACTTAAAACTTAACGTTGAAAAGAGAACATTAAGAAAAGTATTATTTTTTTAATTAATTCTACATAGATAAGGCGTCAATATATATGTCTATACCAGCAATATTTTACTGTACAAAATCAAGCTGATTATATACCACTAATCATAATAGTGTACACAGTTGACTAACTAATAGTGTGAACATATTTTGATAGTATTTAATTAAAATTGTGTTATATCTTAAAAATTGTCTCCAATGATTGCCTCAATGTTTTTGGAGTGTGACTGGTGGTGCGTCCGTGCTGCCAGAGTGCTAGCTGTGATCACTAACTCGGAGGCTCCTTAAACAAGCTGCGTATGTAAGGTATGATATGAGTGATCTTGAAGGGGAAAATGGAGAAAGATGTTGAACCCAAGACATTTAGCAGCCAAATTAATCCTTGAAGTTATGAAAATGACCAAATGCTAATTTCTCGAGTAAGCTTCACATTGGAACTTTACCTTTAATTTTGACCTTTTCAATAATTGAGTTACTCTAAGTAAGTGTGCTAAGCAAATGAATAATAACCAGGGCGTGCGCCCTGCCGCCGCTAGGTTGTTTATAAACAAAGCTTTTTTTTTTTTTTTTAAGAAAAGAAGCCAGCTAGATTATTCCGACCCAAAATTCCAATTTGACGGTGGAAAAGATGATGCAAACCAACAAAAAAGACAGCACTTTTTCCTCTGACCCGTTTTTGCAAAAATCCAATGTACTGATGTAGATTTGGCTAATTGGGTTTGGCTTCATTGGCAACAAGCCATGTTTTAGAGGCAGCACAATTTGGGTGCTTGGATTTTGTTCCTCACTGCGCACCCCTACTTCATTTCCAGGCTTTACCATCTCTCCGGTTTTGTGGGGGGTTTGTATGCACCATGTCATCCACCATTGTGGCAGCTTTTACCCTCCTAATTACAAAATAATTAAGTAAAATTAAGAACTAGGTGATCAGTAATCACCCTAACCTATTGATAAATCCAAGATTAACAGATCCAGTGCTAGGGGCCTGCTTCTTTTGGTGGACCATTCCTTAATACACTTTGTAATTATAATCAAAGATTAGGAGAGTCTTAAATTTCTACAAACATCCATGTATTAATAATTCAATCACCTTTTGCTTTTGGGTTAAAGCTCTAAAGCATTGAACTTTCTCTTTATGCTGAAAGCTGTACATGGCACCAAGGAGGCAAAGATGCTGACTAATTAAGAGGAACAGTAAAACCTTTTGGAAAGGTCCATCCGGATCCACTGCCATCCCCCATTCCTCATGATCAAAAAGATTTGACACAAAGAAACTTAATTACATTACCTTTTCGGATAAAGATTAAGCATTTTCAAACTCTTATTAGCCTCTTTTCTTCCACAGTCTTCCTCTTCTTTAAGCATTGAGAATGCAGAAGACATGTTTGCTTCAATGACCATGCTTTTGAGCTTTCTCTTGCCAAAATGGGCGGATCTTGTTTCTTCATCTCTTCATAGACAAGTAAATGTAGGATCTTTAACTTTCTAGGCCTTATATCTCTTCTGCATTTCAGATCTCAGCTAGTTGGTAGCATCATTCTTTTGGAATGGATTAGTCATAAGCTTAATTTCATTAATGCAATTAGTTAATTTCTCTTGGAACAAAACTAATGGTCCCATAGATATTGAATGCAAAATCAAGTACTAGGGAGAAAAAAAAATCAATTTTCTAAACATTTGGACATTCTCCAAAACCTAAATGGTAGGTATGTACATAGTTGTCCATCCCTAGAAATGAATTCACACCCTCCTCAATTTGTAGACACCAAAAAATTCAAAAAAGTAAAATAAAAAAGGCTGACTTTTTGCTTAACTATCATACCTTAATCTTCTTAACTACTAGGGTGAAGGCGGAAGGGGTTGATCTGTGTCCAAAACCCGCACAAAACAACCAATTTTTTTCTTTTAGGTTTTTTATTTTGCAATGCAAATTATAAAATCAATGCCGTCAAATGAGGAGGAGAGTCTGATATCAAGAGATCCTACCCCAATTTAAGAGTAATTATTTTACAATTTAGTATATTTTAGATTGCAAAATAATTTTTTAATTTATTTTTTATTTTAAAAAAGACTTTCTCTTATATTACTCCTGCTTAATTTCATCAGTTTTGGTAAACGATGCATCAAGCCAACTTCTCCTTTTAATTTTCAAATCCTTACCATAATTCAAATTATTATATAATATAATCTAACATGGTCAATGTCAATGCAAGTGCAGGTTAATATTAAAACAGTTAGAGAATCTACTTTTAGCAATATATTTTCCTAGCATATATTCCAACCTAATAATCTAGTATTCAGCGGGAAGAATAAGACGAAGGGATATTGCAACAGCCAATTCATTTGTTTTTATAGAAAAAAAATATATTTATTTTTGGTTGATATCCTGAGAATTATGATCTATGACTTGGGTTTGCAAAGATACCCTCTTGAATGTTGTGGGGGAATCCATGATAATTAGGTCTAGTATTTTACCACGAATGAAATTTTATCTTTGTAAGTTTTATATTTTATAATCTAAAATGTATTAAACTGTAAAATAAAAATTATTGAAAGGGAATGATAACTCCATTATTAAGGCTCCACCGTATCCAATTACTTATTGTCGCATGGTTGAGCACATAAAATACATTTTATGTACAAAACTAAACAGCTATATCTTAGTTGTAATCCCACATGCTATTCCACTAAACAAACAACCTTTTTGGAGCATAAAGTCAAACCTAGAGAAACATGGGTTATGGGGAGAATCTGTTTTATTTTCTTTTTAATTCCTGTGGAATTCTTGGAGACAGAAGCCACTCCAACCGGAATGTGGGGGACATTTAATGCTTAAAATTTAGCTCTGAACATTCCATACTACAGTCGTTGATAGACTTTTTTTCAACTGTAGACTGGATTTAATTAGCTCTGTAATTGCAATTACTAAACAAGAAGAAAATGCAGACTCATCACTCAAAGCATGAGTTCAGGTCAATTGACATTGCCTTGCTTTTCGTGTTCGCACATGGCTTCACATGCATCATCAATGGCTCAATGCCCCGAAGAACCATGCTTCTTGTCATCTTATGAGCACATTGTTGTAGCCAAAGTCTCTCCTCATGAAAGCGAGTCCAATTACTGGACTGACAGCAGGGTCGTCAAATTGAGCCTGCAGCTTCTTGAGCCACTTCCAGGCCCAAAGAAAGAGATCAAGAAAGGTCTGGTGTTCTAAAACTGAGGACCTCTTCCTCTTCGACCAGCTGATTCTTACAAGTCTTCTAAAATCACTTTCAGCCAATGTTATTTATTTAATGGGCAATGATACAGCTACGTTATTTTCATGCAATGTTTTTTTTCATCAGCAAAGAAATGTATTACTGAGGAGGTACAAGGGATACCTTAACCCATTTCTTCCTCATTAACAAAGATCCTTAAGCTGAAAATGAATGTCAAATCTCGCCCAATCAATGTTGCCAAAACAACGTATGAAAACTCCTGTACAAATTGCAACAAAATTCTAGAATATGTCAAACACTGAAACACCAACACAACCCCACTTAGGTAATTGATTGAACACCTAACGTGCATAACAAAATAAGAACTCTAATCTTTCCAACCTCATTGCCTTAAAACCCAATTATTTTTTTTACATATCTTCAACCAGTTAAATTGAATAAATCCAGCAATAAGTTCAGCCAATAAGCATTCAAGATCAATATAGAGAATTAGAGTTATGCAACTTGAACTGGAAAAAGAGCCAGGTTCCCTGTGCCTCTGTGCTGTATGTTGTATCATATTTCTCTGCACCACCATCAAAGCACTGGCTGTATCAAATTAAGCGTCACGTACCTGGTTATCAAGTGCCTCTCATGGTTGGTTATGCCATGCGTCAACTGACAGTTCCTGGCCATCCATCCTTGCTTTTATCCAACTAAAAGACCTTTCCTTCATCAATTCCAGCACATTCGTAAGGCAGTCTGCTTCCTCATTGAACAGCTTTTGGTTCCTCCAAAGCCATAAGGACCAGATAATTGAAAACCATACAATATAACCCTCCATGCTTCCTTTATTTTCTAGTTTACAATGCCTTTTTTTTTTTTCTTTTCTTTTCTTTTTTACAATACGTATACAAGTCCACTGTTTGGATACTATAGTGACTTCACTGCTCCGAAAAAGAAAACAATTGCATGAAGTGAAAGTCATCCAGAGTTTCTATGCTTCACATCGTATAAGAACAACGTAAGAAAATAATGTCGCTAAGACATTAATATTATTAATCAATATATTGTTCATGTAGTTCCATAGCAAACCTGAAGCCCTGTTTTAGGACAACGGATTTACAACAAGAAGCATAAATCAACAAATCAAATCTTTACCTGCCTACGGGCAACAAATCTAGCAGGACTAAACCGACTAAGATCAACAATGCTAGCTTGGCCATCAACCACCAGCTCTGCCATGGCAGCCCCAGTTGCAGGACCATTGAGAATGCCCCAACAACTATGGCCGGTAGCCACATAACAGCCCTTGACACCTGGTATCTCTCCTATGACAGGCACACCATCATCAGTACATGGCAAGAAACATGCTTGCTCTGCCTTCACTTGTGCCTCTCCCTCGGCCAGATGGCTGGACACAATCTTTGCCACCCTCTTTAGCATCTGAATTGATTCCGGATTGCCTGATATCTGCCCTGGATCATCAGGCACCTCCGCCTCCGCAGACATTCCACACAAGTAAACCTCCCCTAAGAAATAACAATACATTTGAGAATTCATCTTTGAATTCAATCTCTAGTATATAAAACTACCATGAATTTCATCAAAAATTAGGAATTATGCAGCAAGCATACCAGTGGGGCGAGGGTATACTTCAGGGTCCATAGATTTTCCTCCCTGAGAAGGGTAGTAGCTAAGGAAAAGGGCATGGGGCGTTATGGCATCAGGCTCCTTAGGCTCCAATACTATGCTGTGAGCCTTTAAGCCGGACACTCTGAAGATCGACGCCAGCATCTCGAACTTCCCAGACCATGGTCCAAGGGCCAACACCACCGCTTCCGAGTCAATTGCCCGTCCTCCCTCAAGCACCACAGACACAACTCGCCCCTCCTCAACTCGGACCTGTTCTGCTTTCCCTATCACCACCTCAACACCAAATTTCTCAATCGCCGTGTTTAGGAGAGTTTTCGTGAACAGCTGAGGATGTACTTGGGCCGTGGTTCGGGTTGTCCCGATAGTTCTGAGGCCCCGCGCCGGACCGTCGACCCAAGAAGGGATTGCGGATTCGCGGGACGGTTTGGAGCCCGAGGAAGGGGATTGCGATTCATCGACAGTGAGGCTGAGAGCGTGGAGAGGCCTATAGCCATAGGATTCGGGGCCGTTGAGTTCTTCAGATAGTGAACGGTGGAGATTAAAGCTAGCCCGGGCCAATGAAGCGACTGGTTCGCCGTCACACCAATCCAGCGCGAGGAAGCCGCCGGCTTTCCCAGAGGCCGCACATGCCACGGAGGATTTCTCAACGAGCGTGACGGCGGCGCCTTTCTTACCCAAGAAATAAGCCGTACAAACTCCGATGATACCGCCTCCGCAGACTACAACGCGCTTCTGCGGAGGTTGTTGGTGCTGATCCATGGGTGGCGATGGAGATGGAGATTAGTGGATTGATGCCGCAACGATGAAGGTCGAGATCTTTCTGAAATTTCGGGTTGGTCGGGGAAGGAGGGGAACGGATGAGAGCCACGGCGACGGTAATGTCACCGCCATAGAAACTGAAACAGTGACACGTGTATAATAATGCTTTTAACATTTTTTTCCTTTTGGGGATTTTTCTTACAGGCCCAGGCTTAAATGGACCTGGTCCCCAAGATGGAATCCCATTGGACCTTCAATGTCGTTGCTATGGACTCTGGTTGGGTCAATGTCAGATTATGGATCTAGTTGACTAGATATCTTGGACTTATAGTTGTGGATATTTGGCCCATATTTTTTAACTTTGGGTTGGACTATTGAATCATATTTTCATTTATGACGAGTAACGCGTGGTCCACCCCAATGTGTGCTTCGCAGAGGTTCCCCGACCTTAGCATCAGTTTTTTAAATTTTTTTTAGGTTAAACCCTCAATTTGGTCCCTAAATTATTTACAAACCTTTGATTTGGTTCATATTGTTTACCAATTTGCCCTAAGTTGATCCTTTCGTACAAAAAACAACTGATGTGTCTGTTACTCAACGGCAAAAAATAGTAACTTAACAACTAAAAATAGTAACTCAACGGTCATATGTTATGTTAATAATAAAACGCGTCAGTTGGTTTTTGTATAGAAGAACCAACTTTGGGTAAATTGGTAAACAATAAGACCAAATCGAGGATCCGTACAATAATTTAGGAATCAAATTAGAGATTTTTTAAGTTTAAAGATTAAATTGAGGATCCGTATAATAGTTCAGAGACCAAATTGGTGATTTAACCTTTTTTTTTTTAAGTAATGTTCTCAGGTCAATTTACACTAACTTTAAAATTATTCCGTCTTTAATATGATTTAATATAGATCATCTATGTTAAAATTAGAAAAATTATGAAAAATTATTTTTTATTAATGATTTTAAAGATTCAAATCTTAATTAATAAAGTGAAAACTAAACTTATTTACTAATTAAACTACAATTCTTTGGGTACGGTATTATCATATTAAACACTTGTATATTACTTATGAAAGCAATTTCTTTTTACCGTTTTAAGTTTCCGCCGCTCAACATATTATCTGTACTTAATAATTAACCAATTTTGTAGATGATGTTGAGTGGTTTGGACGCTTTGATTGTTCAATCAGAAAGAGACAAAATTCCAGTAAACATTTTGTTTAATGGGCAGTGACATAGTAATAATCTTTTATATAATTTTTTAATATAATTTTTTCATATTATTAAATAAATAGATATATTTAATATCATAAATTTTAAATGAATAAAAAATAATAATTATTTAAATAATATATGACATTATACAAAAAAAAAATGATAAAAAAATTATCTTTGAATGATTTTCTTTCTTTCATATTGTCCACTTGCACCAACGGAGGGTTGAATCAAGTGGTAAGCGGCTTGTTTCAGCTTAAGCAAGGTTTCGAGTTCGAATCCTTGCGTACGCAGCAGCCTTCGTTGGGAGACTCACCCACCATTTCCAGGTGCGCGACCCGGGTCGGGTCCGGATTAGTCGGGGCAAAGCCCCGGATACCGGACGGGAAACCGAAAAAAAAAAAAATATTGTCCACTTGCAAATTGCAATCAAGTAGTATGCATCCTAACTAGCAATTGTTAGTGGTTCAATAAGATCTCTCTCTCTCTTTCTCTCTTTTCTTCTTGTTGCAATAAAATCTCATTTTCTAAATCTTATTATTATACTACAAAGACTAATGATTATGAACTAGATAAAGGTAGGGTGGAAACTCAATTCTCTTCATTATTTCTTCAAAAAAGTTGATGGTTTCCCGGGCCCAGCCCAGTTATCACGGTTGTCTTTAACTAGAAGACGTGGTCAAGCGGTGGCCCAACTACATTGGACGTAATATTCATAGCTGCAATGCTATAACTATAATAACGCCAAAATTTGTAGATTTATAATTCTAATATATAATTAAAAAAGATGTAAAATATGAATGAAATTTTAAATTAAAAATAATTATATAATAGCACGTTTACAATGCTATAGTTATATATAGAGATTCAATCACCCTTTTTTTTTTCTTTTATTTACACACAATGGGAGGTAACATATTTTTTTATTATTTAATTCACTCTATTCGCATATTATGTTTTACAAAAAAAAAAAAAAAACATTACTATTGAGACATATAAGTTGTTGGTTATAGATTCAATAATTTAAGTACAATACAAAATTTTTTTTTAAAAAAAAAAAACCCATGTGTATGGGAGGGTTGTAACCACAACTTTGAGATTGCGACACCTCAATTCCTAAATTTTTGATCACTTAATCCTGAGGCACATAATGTCCAACAATTAATGGTCGTCATCAAAATATCAAATAGCATCAACTAACCCACAAAAAATTGGAAAACCGAAAAAAAGAATAAAATTAATTTATTTGGATAAAAATTAGTAAAAGAAAAATTAAATAATTCCTAGATTATATATTTTTATTTAATTAAATAAATTAAAGAAAAATAATTACACAATTAATTAAAATTTTATAAATTTATGTATTAAAATTAAACCTATAATAAAAATTTTAATTATATTTTTTTAAAAAAATAAAAATAAAAACAAGACAAATCCCCTCAAATTGAAACAATTAAAAATAAGGAATTTTAAAAAAATTCGACCCCTTGCATTTACCTCTCCCTTTATCCCTTTCTTAATGATTTTATCCAAATAAGGGACAGAAGACACTTCTCTCAATTCAAACGAAGACTAAAAACCGGAGACTAAAAAGAAAGGAAAACACAAACAGCGGTGGCCACAAAGGGAAAAGGCGGAATGAACCCACCCTAACTGAAAGATAAAGACCCTACATTTTCAATCACAAAAATCCATTAAATGCAATATTTTCTTTTGCTCACAAACAACCAATGTTGCATGCATTCCCCATAAAAAGTACACAGCCTACCTACCCTCCATTAAGGCAATTACTCAAAACTTTAAAATCATTGCTACTTTGTTAGGTCTTGTTATTAGGCCCTTTCCTGGTTTTTCATTTGTTTCTTTTTCATCATTTGGCTTGGCAAGAAAGCTCTTACCTCCAAGAGAAGATGAATGGAGATCTGTTGTACAACTTGGCTCACCAACATGGATCATGTATGTAAATTTAAAAATAAAAGTTTAGTGAAATTAGTTTATACTTGCTTATAAAAATCCCTTCTTTTTTTTTTTTTTTCATTTTGTGAACCAAAAAGAGCAGTCAAAGAAAACAAACGATTATTGGTTCTTACCTAAATTATGATAACTAGTTCGAGTCTGAGTCACAACCTTGGATTGTCCTCAATTAAAAGCTGGATATCATCAAAAATGGATCAAAACCCAAGAAAACTCTCAAAATGACAGTGACCCCCAACCTAACAGACACTGGGATCCACCACATTTGACAAAAAGCCCAAATCATTGGGTGGCTAAGGGCTCTGTTTGGATTATAGTTTTGATGATAAGTCCTTTATATACACAACATAAATTAGAAAGGGATCGCTACTCTTTTGTTTGCTTTTCTACATTTCAACAGCATTTGAAAGGGAAATCATTCATGCTCCATATATTGCTCCTCTTTTACTTTATTAGCACAAGCACGAGCTGTTTAGGTTAGTTCCATATCCACTAATTTACGCCCACTTCATGGAAAAGAGGCAAACCCTCCTTTTTTCTTTTTCTTTTTTGTTGTCTCGTGGCTTGATTACTTTCTGCATAATTATTGTCGATAATCACCCGTACGTGGTACTAACATGCGCTTTGAATTTTTTTTAATATATAAAATAAAATATTATCTAGTGATCATAAAACACTGTTTGGCATAAATTAATTAATGTTCTTTATATTACTATTATTCATATTAACATGTGGTACTTTCTTTTGTGAATTTTAGGGTATAATTATTACCAAACAAAACCTTAATTTTGTTTAGATCCCCTCAACCTGCCTCTTGCCTTAATTGATTCTGCTGATCTTAGGGGACAAAGTTTCATATGGAAGTAAGGTGAGACCCAAAGAAATTTTTTTATAATTAAAGAATTCCATATGGACTAAATTAATTAAACCCTACGCAAGGACTTCAATTTGCAAAGCTTTGTTTTCTATTATCAATCTAATTTAATTTAAAAGTAAAAGAAAGTGAAAAGAGACAAGAAGTAGTTGCGCCACTAACTACTTTTTTAAGGGGAATGGAAGCACAAATAATGCCAAAGAATGATTATTAAAGTGTGTTTAAAAACATGCTATTCCGGAAATTGTAAAATAATATGCCAATGTGCCATACAACTATAAAGTTGTACTATTAATCAAATTGATGTGAAAACATTCAATGGAGCACTAAAATATGTCTTCCCAAACCCCACATATGATTAAGAGCTATTATGTTAAGTTATCATTTATATATATGTTTGCAGTAATGATTTTTTCGACCCTTATTTCTTTACACCCATTCCTTAGACCATGAAGTTGAGCAGAAAGAGGGTAACATGTTTTGAGATCCACGCGTGTAAGCACCGCATCATCTCATCCCTACCCCACTAATTTAGAATCCGAAGACATTCCCTTGAAATAAATAAAGAAAGACAAACTTACATGGTTGTGAGTTCGTCGTTTTAGTTTTATTTTTTATTTTTTTTAAAGATAACAAAAATAACAGTTTTTTTTTCTTTGGAGTTCAATTCTTAAAGAGGGTGGAAGTAGAATTCTTTTATAGAAATTAAACTCTCTTTCAAATTTTTTAAGTCTTAAAAGTATTTTTTTAAAAAGGCTACAGTGGGGTTAGGTTATTATTACTATATAAATTATTAAAATTATTAATTTAATTGTAATTTTATTAATTTTTAATTTTTTAAATAATTAATTATAATATTTAAAAATATTTATTTGTGAATTAATTTTAATCTATAAATAATAAATATTTTTAATCATTAAATTAAAATAAAAAACTAATAATTATTAATGATTTTAATAAATTGAATGGTGGAAGCGCCTCATACATGCACTGTAGCATAATTGCATCCAACCAATTAAAAACGGTTGGATCAAACATTTTCTCTTTTTTATTT